ACATGTGTATTTCTTGTGTTGTTGATTTTAGCCATTCTGACAGGTGTGAGATGATATCTCATTGTAGTTTTAGTTTGTATTTCCCTGATGGTAAGTGATGAGCATCTTTTCATGCCTTCCTTGGAGAAATGTCTATTCATGTTTTCTGCTGAGTTTTTAATTGGATTATTTGTTTTTTGGATGTTGAATTTCTGAAGATTTTAACCCCATGAGTTTGCTCACTTGTGGTAAAACACAGCTAAAAATTCAGACTCGTTCAGAAAGCACGTGCTGACTTCTCTCATTACCTGCATGGGGGTGCTTCCTGTGTCCTTGTGTCTAGTCCCGATTATTGTACCGAAGCAATTTCCAGACCAGACATTCTCACTGGGATGCCCAGGTGCTTCCAACCCTATAAGTTAACACAAACTCCTGATCTATTCTTCTAGTTCAACTGTTTGTCCTCTGCCAACCCTACTTCCCTACCAAACAACACCTACCCCCCCCTTCACTTATTTGTCATCCATACAGTCCTGCCAACTATGACCTCTACCTACAGAATTTCTGGTGTCCCTGCCAATGGTTTACCTTCTTCATCCATTACCTGGACTATTAAACCAGTGGCTTTTCAACTTACCCTCCTGCCTGAAACTGGTCACCTTTCTAGTCTGTCCTCCACATTGTAGCTTTAATTGTTGTTTCTCCTGCTTATATAGGATGGGGGCCAGACTTGTTAGCATAGAGTACTCCTGGCCTCTTGCGGCAAGACTCTGAATTCTTTTGAGCTTTATCTTGTGCCAAGGAATACTTTTTTTAGTTATGTCTCATGCAACATTTAGGATAAGTATGTCCCAAATATTGTATGGGGCATTGTTAGAAGGTAGGAGAGGAACAGTAAAGTGTCCCCCACACTAAGAAGGCAATTTTGAGACTGGAAAATGAAGCAAGCGACTCCATGCAGTTTACAGAGTTTTATTCAGGGTACCTTATTGACAGTGGGGGTGAGGCAGGAATGGCGGGTGGATCTGGCAGAGGATGATCCACAGCAGCTGCAGTTATTCTCTGCAGAGCCCAGACCTTAGTCCAGATTTTCTGGAGTGAGGGGACATGCAGAAGGATACTATAGTGAGATCAGAAGCTTCGCATGCACCTAATAGCTAACCTTTAATTAGATCTTGTGGCACCACCTGTGGTATATCTAACAGATTCACGGGAGGCCAAAACAAGCCTTACTCCCAACCCCTATCCTCGGCTTGGCAGACATTTCTAAGGTATGTGTGTTAATCTTCAAGGGACCCCAAGAGGGGTCATCGAGTGAACACAAACTAAATGGAGGGCCAAAGATGGAGTCATTACTGTCAGCACTCCTGCAGACATACTTACATTAAACAATTAGTCATTGTTTAATCAAAACTTAAATTTAACTACACATTTTGTATTTTATCTGGCAATCCTGCATGTCTGCTACTTTGTTTTGTAGCCTGTTCAGAAATACAGTAGTGTCTCTCTCTATGCATTTACATCTTGATTGGATCTAAAAAAAAAAAAAAAAATTGCAGTTGCAGAAACTTTGTGAGTACAAAATATTTGACATTTCTTTATGAAATCTTTCATATCCATCTGTTCACAAATAAGGAGCTATATTTAATTGGGTCTCAGCAACAATGCATTTTTGCCTGAGACACTAACTTGAAAAAATATGTTGTTTTGGAAAAACATGTTTCAGATTAGGGTGTAGTAATGACTGTGGACCTTTTCTGAGTGGAGGGAATCCTCAGTCTGGAAAATGAACTCCAGTTAAATTTAGTCTTCTTTTTGCTTATGGAAATAATGAATAATAAATAGCTTCAGTTACTATTGTTTCTTTCTTTCTTTCTTTCTTTTTTTTAAGATTTTATTTATTTGACAGAGAGAGATAGTGAGAGCAGGAACACAAGCAGGGGGAGTGGGAGAAGGAGAAGCGGGCTTCCCGCTGAGCAGGGAGCCCGATGCGGGGCTCGATCTCAGGACCCCGGGACCATGACCTGAGCCGAAGGCAGACGTTTAATGACTGAGCCACCCAGATGCCCCTATTATTGTTTCTTTAAGATCTTTTCTGAGGATAAAGCTAAATTGTCATGGTTCAATTTTACTTCCAGCTTTGTGTCATTTTTTTCCTCTGCAATATTTTTTGTCTTGTGAATAAGTTACAGTGTGATTTTCAACTTATTTTTTATTCTGAAGAATGTTCATCTTTAATGTTGATAAAAAGCAAAGTTTGTTTGTTTTTTTGTTTTGTTTTTTAACCACTGGCTAGATCTTTATTTTCCAACATTAGTAGTAATAGACATATCCTGCTTGTTCTCATTATGTAAGATTTTAGTTATTCTGATAATATGCATAAGTTTTACATTGAAACCTTCTAGTTGAACTAGAATAAACCATTGTCAACCTTTATCAGAAGATTAAGACTCATAAAGAATGCCAGTGAATTAAAAAAAAGCCCAATTAATATCCAATTCACAGAGAAAAATGCCAGTGAATTAAAAAAAAAGCCCAATTAATATCCAGTTCACAGAGAAAAATACAGATAGCCGTAAATTTAACAGAAGATGTGAACCTTACTTGTAACGAGGAAGATGGACATTGAAACAAGATAGTGTTTTTTATTGTTGGGAAGGAAATTTTTTCTCTACCCTTCAAGAATCTTCTGGCTGGTCTAAAAATTAAATTGACATGAGACAGATTAATCTGGGAGAGTCAAACTTAATTTTGTACATTTGTGGAATCCACATAATTTCATAAGCATGAGATTCCAAAGATGGGCAAAATGAGGTATATATGTCATCCTGAACTAAGGAGAAGGGGGAAGGGGCCTGAGACTTCAATGAGAAGAAAAGCAATTCCCAGGAAGATGAAGAGGCATAAATGTTTGGTAAACAAATGTTTGCTGGGCCATATAGAAGCAAGGGACAGAGAGAGGAATTTTTACAAATAGACCTTGCTCAATTCTTCTTGTCTGCCACACTGAGTATGCTGTACTTCTCTGTGGTGGTAGCTCTCTTCCTGGAGCAGGTCCTCTATTAAATTCTCCTCCCTCGCCCCCCCAAATCTAAATTTTTTTAGGCAATTAGGGAAGGTCAAAGTTTTTTTGAGTCTCCTGGAACATGATTGTTTTCAGATCAAAATAATCCACATACCAAAGTGCCATATCTTGGGGCCATTTGTTCTGAAACTTTACATTATCTTTAAATTGGATGTTCAGGTTGGGAATGTGAGCAGTCTCAGATGTTACTGATGAGATATAAATTGGTTCAGTCTTTGAAAGCGTGGTTTGACTTTACCTCTTGAAACTTTAAAATTTGATTCCATTTCTAGGTCAGCAGTCTATCCCATATAAATAATGGCACGTGTACAATGAAGCATGCATAACAGTGTTTATTGAGTCAGTGTGTGTAATAGCAAGAAAACACAAGTAACAGAAAACAAAAAAATCCTCCCCAACATGTTCACTGTGGGAATGCTTATCACTTTGATCTATTCTTACTATAAAATATTAAATAGTGGTTAAAAAGTGGATTGGAGGGGGGCCTGGGTGGCTCAGTCGTTAAGGGTCTGCCTTCGGCTCAGGTCATGATCCCAGAGTCCTGGGATCGAGTCCCACATCTGGCTCCCTGCTCAGCAGGGGGTCTGCTTCTCTCTGCCTCTGCCTGCCTCTCCCCCTGCTTGTGCTCTCTCTCTGTCAAATAAATAAATTAAATCTTTAAAAAAAAAAAGTGGATCGGAATTTTATGTATAATTAATAGGGAAAGATCTCCACGGCTTATTGTTAATTGGGAAAAAACATATTTTAGAACAATACATATACTCTTTTATTTAACTAAGTTGTTTGTTTATATACTGTGTATGCGCTGTACAAGTGTATGTATGTATATATGGGTATATTATGAGTGAGAATTAGGGATGGGGACACACTTGTAAACTCATAAAAATACCCACCAAATTGTTAACTCTTGAGGAGAGGAGTGATATTTTGGGGTGGGAGTGAAAGAAGTCTTTCACTTTTTATTCTATATATGCATTTCAAGAAAAAGATATCCATGTGTTACAAGTATAATTTTTTAAAATCCTGATACTTGATTTCAGAATTCATTTAGGCTAAGTAAAGGTGAAGTGGTATGCTATAGCACTGTATCTTTAAAAATGATTCAGGGATGCGTGGGTGGCTCAGTTGGTTAAGCAGCTGCCTTCGGCTCAGGTCATGATCCCAGGGTCCTGGGATTGAGTCCTGCATTGGGTTCCCTGCTCTGCCTGCCACTCCTCCTGCTTGTGCTCTGTCTCTCTCTGACAAATAAATAAATAAAATCTTTAAAAATAAATAAGTAAAAATTATTCAGAAAAAATTAAGAAAAAGTCTTTGGAAGAGGGACTTTTTTCTCAGTCTGCATTTCTCTGTGCACAAGGTGCATTTCCATGTTGGATTTTGACTTGTAGGCTGAACAAACACTTCATGACAGCCCCTCTTTTTTTTTTTTGTAAAGATTTTATTTATTTATTTGACAGAGAGAGACACAGCGAGAGAGGGAACACAAGC